ACGTGTATTGATAGGGGAGCAGCTGAAGTAGGTAACCAAGCTAACGGGATTTGATTTTGAAATCCAGTACAAACTTGGGATAAAGAACAAGGCAGCTAACGCGTTGTCCAGAATAATGAACTATAATGCTATATCAATGGTCACTAACACTGATTTAGTAGAACTAGCTGAAGAGGTACTAGGAGATGAGCTATTGAAGGGAATCATGCAACAGGTGGTGGCACACCCTAGTTCCCATCCACATTATTCAGTCTCTCAGGGTTGTTTGTGGTATATTCAGAGGCTGGTCCTACCTAAAGAGTCTGCCCGAATTCCATTATTGTTGACGGAATTTCATGCATCACCTTGGGGTGGGCATTCTAGAGTTACAAGGACTTACAAGAGGTTGGCCATAGTTTTCTATTGGACTAGGATGAAGCAAGATGTGGAAAATTTGTGGCTAATTGTCAGGTTTGTCAACAGAATAAGCACGAAACTTTGAAACCAGCAGGGCTACTGATAAATGCTTTCTATACTTGATCCTACATTGTAATTCATGAATGATAATTGAGAGTTTTAAACTATTCATTGATAAAATTTACTATTATTAATTTCATTTTATTTATATTTAAGGAAAAAGGATGAAGAAGTAAAAGCTTTAAAAGATATTGGGAATTGAAACACATAATGAAGCCAGAGATATACACGGGCAAGTACATGTCCGTGTATATGAGCGTGTATCTCACTGGTGGCGTCAATTGAAGTGTATTATCAAAACCAGAGATGTACACAGCCATACTTTGACCGTGTACATGGGCGTGTACTTTTCAAAAAAGCTATGAAGTGCAATTATTAGAGACCAGAGATGTACACGGCCAAAGTACATGAGCGTGTACTTTTATGGAAAGCTTTGAAGGACGTCTTTTAGAAACCAGAGATGTACACGGCCAAAGTACATGGCCGTGTACTTTGGCGTGTACTTTTAGCATGCGTCAGAATTTAAATTTCTGCGAGAAGATGAGCCCTTGGGTCACTCATATAAAAGGGAACTTGGCACAGAAACCTAGGGGAGACTGTTTTTGGAGACAAAAGACTCAGAGACGGCAAGAGGATGGGATCAAGCGTTCTAATTCATATCTTTTGTAATTTTAGTTTCAAGATGTTTAGGTTCTAACTTTCCTTTGAGTATTTAGACGTAATGAATCCTAATTGACTAAATTTTCTGGAATTCTTCTAATACTATTTCATGTTCCTTTCTCTTGGGTTTAATTGAGTAGTATCAATTTTCTTCTATCTTGTTTTCTTGTTTGAATTTGAGTAAAATTCTTACATGAATTTAACATTACTCAATTAAAAAGACTTGAATGTATTTCTAGAGATAAAAAGACGTGAGTTTTCTGTATTAGGATTAACTCTAATTATGGAATTCATAATGAACTTAATGCAACTTAGGGGTATTAATTAAGGAAGAGATTCTGATTGATCAACTGAGGATTAGGAATCATTATCCTTGAGAAAGGTATTGATTTCATTTAGAATTTCCTGCAGCGATAAGGATTTGGAACTAAGTAGTTGAAGAAGAATTTCAGTTATTTGGACATTTAGGAGGATTTACAGTCTAGATACTTTCCTATTTCCCTTGAACACCTTTAGCCATAATTTTCTATAATTTATTTTCATAAGAATATTTGTTCCTTTTCAATTTATTATTCTTTATTTTTAGAAATTTTATCAACAAAACTTATTTTTTTCATATTCATTAACAATTGCGTAATTAAGGAAGAAATTCTTATTAACAGTCCATGTGGATACGACACTTGGTATTCTATTTTTCATAATATTACTCTGACAACGGGTACACTTGCCCAATAATTCGATTTTTACACACCAGCTACTTCAGCCCCTACTCATCCTCGTGCATATGTGGGAAGATATATCAACGGACTTTATTGGCGGACTTCCAAAAGCTAAGAGATGACAGCATCATGGTGGTGGTGGACAGATTAAGCAAATACGTCCATTTCATTCCTTTACTTCATCCATACTTAGTTAAGGAGGTAGCAACAGCGTTTGTAAAGGAAATCGTCCGTTTGCATAGATTCCCTACTTCCATAGTTTCAAATCGAGACAAAATTTTCATCAGTTCATTTTGGAAGGAGCTATTTCGCCTCTCGGGTACGAAGTTGAAATTCAGTTCTGCATACCATCCTCAAACGGATGGACAGACCGTAGTGACTAACCGCACCATTGAAGCATATTTGAGGTGTTTTGTTAGTGACCACCCTCGTCAATAGGTGAACTGGCTACCGTGGGGGGAGTTTTGGTTTAACTCTTCATTTAATGCTTCTATCAAAATGACCCCTTTCAAGGTACTTTATGGTTGTGACCCCCCATAGTTATTCCTTACTGTCGGGACAATACTGTTGTGGCTGAGGTGGACAAAATGTTACTGTTTCAAGATAGTATCATAGAGGAGCTCAAGCAACATTTAATTAGAGCACAAATGAGAATGACAGGACAAGCGGATAAAGGGCGGTGAGAAGTGAAATTCCAGATTGGGGACATGGTGTATCTGAAAGCCCAACCCTATAAGTTGAGGTCATTGGCAAAAAGGGTAAATGAAAAATTGGGCCCTAGATTTTATGGCCCTTGTTAGGATTTACAGAAAAAGAAGAAGACACACTGAAATCCTTTATTAAAGAATGAAAGAATTTGTAAGTTTGTGTACAATGAGTACCCGGAGTTTATCTCCTCAGAGGCTATCCCTCTGCCTCAAGTTCTGATTAACTTCCCAAAAACTACCTACCTTACTCATTCCCTTTAGTTATATACAATTTGGATAACTAACGGAAAGTAACAAAACATGTAACAGAAAATAACAGCTAACTCCTAATTGAGTTGCTTCCTTTTTCTAGAATAAACTATCCAAGGTTTAGTTTTAGTTGTTGGAACATTATGTACAACAATATCGGTATTAGGATTAGAAATCACTTGTCCTTGAGTCCTATCAGCCCTTTTCGCGTGGAAGAAAAAGTAGGAGCTGTAGCTTATAAATTATTGCTGCCAAAATCATCCCGGTTGCACCCTACTTTCCATGTGTCCCAACTTAAGAGGGCCCCCCTTCTAGTCAACCCAGTCAAGCATTGCCCCCATTTTTAACAGAAGAATTGGAGCTCCAAGTTGAGCCTGAAGAGGTGTTGGATGCACGGAAATTACTGAATGGTCGCTGGGAGGTTCTGATTAAATGGACAAATTTACCTAAGGAAGATAGTACTTGGGAGGAATTTGACTTGCTTCAAGCCATATTTTCACATTTAACCTCGAGGACAAGGTTCCTCTCAATGGGGAGGGTATTGTTGGGTCCAACCAATTGGGCCTCCACTAAAGACATACCAAAGAAGGAGGGGTAAAATAGGAAAGGTGAGCAAGGAGGCCGTTATGCAAGATTCTAACAGATTAACAAATGGAATACGTGGCAAGAATGAGAGAGAAGAGGGGTGAGTGCAGCGGAGGAGGATATATGAAAGATAGACAGAGGGAAGAAGATAGGAAATATTTGGGAGGTTATTTGGGGTGGCTGCTGCCATAGGAGGAGCTTTATTTCATTAATCAATAGCTTTTTTTCTGTTATTACCGAGCTATTTTGCTTGTATGTCCAGGGTTATTCCCTGAGTTTGTTCTGTTACTACAATAATACATTCAGTTCCTATCACATACTATCTCTCTTCCTTAAGTAGTGCACTTCCTTTCTCATATCTTCACATGTTTTACAATCTAAAAGGTAGATTAATGATACAAGTTGTATTTTATCATTAAGCATAATTTCTTTTGTTCTTGTCTTACATAACTCAAGACTTATCGTATTTGCATGTTAGCTTTCTTGTTTTCTCCCTCACAAGGAAGGATTCATGCAGTAGCCAAGTATAAGGATTTGTCATTCAAAATGCTTGTCAAGAATCCATTTGGCTCATTTCATAACAGAACATATCAAGCATAACTCAAACAAGCATTTTAAACCAATCAGAAATATTTCCTGTCATTCATAGACTAAAACCACAACAGCAAGGGGGGAAGTTATTTCCCCATGCCAAAAAATTAACAAAACAAGATGTTAAAGCACACATCATACTGCATTCCACAAAATTACCTAAAATCATAACTAAATAGCCAAAAATCATAACATGATAACAGAATATCAGAACAGGGATAACCAATATCAAAGTAGCAAATAACCAAATATTGTAAAAAAGATAACCAATATCTGAACAGCAACAGTCAAATATCAGAAGAATATATCAGAATGTCAGAACAGCGATAACCAAGTATCGAAACAAAAACAAACAACATCGATAGCAGAATATTAAAAATGAAAGTACTCATATATTAAAACATAAATCATCAAAGAATCAAAAGGAGCTCCTCCACAACTAAGAGGATCTAAACCTCACTCAAACCCTAACAAGTACTTTCTAGACCTAATTTTTCACTATCCACACTCTTAGGTCAAAGATGAACAGAGGAAGATGAGTAAAAATCAGAAGAAAATCAAAGCTCTTTCCATGGAGGAGAAGGGGACGTGAAGAGGAAGAATATGGAGGAGAAACTTGCTCTAGTTTCCACCCAAAGCCCAATGATCACAAACCCTAGACTTTTCTTATTTATAAGAATAACTTGGCCTCTCCCTCTCCCCCTAGGTCAGTGAGTATGTTGATGGGGTGGGGCTTGAGTTCCCTTAACAAACTTACACAAATCATGATTTGAGCTCCTATAAGATACTAAGCCAAACCAAGGTCAAAGGTACATGGGTTAGGTAATTGAAGGTTTCACCAAAGTCTTTTTCTTCCCCTCCATGGCTTTATTAAATAATGACAAATTTTATGGTTGACTGTCTAATATATGCATACTCGTGTAGATCGTGCTAGTCCAAACCCCAAACTTACAAGCAAACATACACATACATTATTCTTTCATAGAAAAATTGCTTTTAGGATAAAAATGGGGACGTTACATATAGTACAAACCTCAACTTCATTCCAGTCAGTGGAACCCCACCAGGCATCCTGTGATTGTCTAACAGAATCTGTAAGTAATCTGCAAAGAGGGAAAATAAGCCCAAGAACTACAGTTACAAACTGCAGTTTTTAATACAAAAACTTGACAGACAGCTTAGTGTTCCTTTCATTATGCACCAAGGGTATTTTATAGTGCCTTTCGAGATAGAAGATAAATCACCAAAGTAGATATAATTGCTCCCAAAAAGTTTTTAACTATACATACAAATTGAACTTGATCAACAACACGCTTAATCAACCCAGATATCCAACAACTTTGTTGGTAACTTGACAACTTGGGACCCATTTGTTCTAAAATTGATTAAAATTGACTTTTATAAAATTAATTTTGAACTATCAAGTATGATTGGGATATGTATCAAAATAAATCTTGACCATCGGAACATATGATTTTAAAATCATAGAGAAGTGATTTCTCAACGGGTAACCAAATGGCACTTGGTTTTGTTATTAGTCTTCCGAGTTTAAACGAGAATTTGTTGCGTACACTCAATCTAATTAAGCTCAAAATATTTTCAATTTTATTAAGCGTTTAAACATTTAGGAGTAGTAAGTTTTTATTAAAAATATATATTTACTATATTAGAGATATAAAAATATAATTTTTGTTAATAAAAACTCATTACTTTTAATCCTTAAAAGCTGAGCTAACAAAACGCGAAATATTTTATTAAATCTCTTCCTTCAGTGTAAGAGTAAAGTGAAAAGAACTCACGCAGCATATATATATATATATATATGAAACCTGGGAAGGTTAATAGTGAGCTAAAAGAGAAAGAACCTCTCAATTTGCGTGTAAACTTGAATAGCTTCGGATTGGGATCGTCGTTGGTTGTTGTCGTTGTAATTTTTAGAGGTGCAACAGATTCTGGTTGCGAAGCCAAAACGACGCCTGTAATGAACGGACGAGTTTGCGTTTAGTTTATGGGACTGTCTCCCATCGAATTTCAGTTTGAGAGTGTAGCCAGGTGTCCACCCCGTCGTAGCCATAACAATCCTTTTGCTTTCTTTGCAACTGATTCAACTGTGATTGGTGGGTGAATTTCAATGTTACTCACATCTTTCGTATTTTAAGGCACCTGAATCCGTATCCCAATATTTAGGATAATTGTGTAAATTTATATATTATAAATAAAATCTGTCTACAATCGTAACAGTATTATTTCTCGCTCGCTCCCTTTTATTTTGGTTTTATTTTCTTATTTTGTCTGAAATCCCTTTTTGATCTGTAAGATTCATATATTATACGGAACAACTTTTCTTAAAACATTTATAGGAATATCAACATATTTATAAACACGTTTAATTATTACACTAATATTTTTTAAAGCTCTAATTAATATAATTGTATTTATGATTTATAGATGTGCATAAAAAAATGAGTGTTAATATTTAAACTAATGGCCTGATTCTTTAAACTATTTAATTTTTTTTAATTAGGTGCATGTAGTTAACGAAACTTAATGAAAGAACCTAGTTAAAATACTTAAAAAATTTAGAAACTTGCTAACAAAATTTTAAAATATATAGGTTCATTTAAAATTTCATAAATAGTTTGGAGACCTGTAACTATTAAAAGAATAAAAATTAAAACAAATAAAGGTATTTTTAAGAATTTAATCTGAACTTTAAAATGTGCAAGAATAAAATCATGTTCTTATGACTTAGAGTTTATTATTATTAGTTAACTCAATATTTAACAAAAGTCATATTTTTAAGGATTTAATCTAAACTTTAAGATATGTGCAAGCATAAAATTTATGTTTAAAAAATATTAAAATTCATGTTATGATGTAAAGTTGATTAATTATTAAGCAACTTAATATTTAACAAAAGTCGTATCAAAATTATTTATTTTAAAAAGATTAGGTATAAAAACTTGACAAAATAATTATTGAAATAAAAAATAAAATACAAGTTACAAAATTGATTGAAATAACTAAAATACTTATAAAACAGACCTATAGTATTAGTCCATTTTAAGCAAGAAAAGGACCTTAGAAAAATCTGAAAATTTTATGACTAATATATGAATCAAAGAATGGATTTAAACTTTTAAGAAGAAAACTCAAAGGTTAATATAGAGAAAGAAAATAATTAAAAAGTTCATTTTACAAATTTCACATGAATAATAACTATTGGTATACTTAGGAAGGTCATAAAAGCACATAAATCACATTTTATTAATTAAAAACAATAATTAGAAGTGATAGTTTCAAAATGGCACTAAAGACACTCAATGATTGCTAAGACCTAGGACCAAACAAATATAAGCAAGAGAAAAAAGCTACAATATGGAAAATACTCCCACAATATTAATAATATATATCATTACAAAATAATCACATCCTTAACTATTTGGTTTAAATACTATTTTTGTCTAATATAAAACCCTTTTTTTTATTTGGTCTTTGTACAAAAGGAATTATAAACAAGTACTTAAAAAAAATTAAACTAGTCACTGTTAATGATGTTGTTAAATATTTTATTATAGTCATTATACATAACATATTTTTATTTCAGTTCTTATTAAAAAAAATTAATCAACATAAATCAAAATTAAAAGAATATATGTTATGCACAGAGAATAAGAAAAAGGTAAGGAAGCAAATTGTAAAAAGTTACAATGATTCTGAGATGTCCCTCCTTAAACTCATTTCATTTCATATAAAACACAACATATTATGAGTAAATTAACAAGTTTTGAGTACTACAAACTATAATCCATATGGTCTAGCTATTACTTCTTGTAATTATTAGAGTATAAAGAGAAAATGCTAAGACCTAGATCTTATACTACTTAACAAGTTATTTTACAAAAATTACATTATTCGAGGTCCTACTATTACAACCATCACTTGCTATTCCTAATCACTTAAGCCACCTGGAAGAGGATCTATTTGAATGCCTAAGTATTGCAGTGCACAGTTGATGAATCCACATTTTATAGATATTTTATTTATTTGTTTATAGATTTTTAAAAGAAAAATGAAGTTAGAAATGATAAATACATAAAAATCTCATTTAGATTAAATATCATAACTTTCTTAATTTTTGTTCAATTTACACTGATTTCTATAAAAATATTTTGCAATTTTAATCATTTGAATAATTGTGTGAGAATTTTCAGGCAAATCCCTTAAATTTTTGACTCTTAGAAAAATATGAAGTGAAAGTAATTACTTTTAGACACCATAGTAATCACTACAGTAAATTAATTCTAAGGGACAGGCAAAAGTAATTACTTTCAGAAATAATAGTGATCACTATAGAGTCAATGACAAGTTCAAACTTGTGCGTGTTTACTATCATGAACGATAGTAAACACTACAGAGAGCTTTAGAATGAAAGACATTGCGCATGTTTACTATTGCAGACAATAGTGATTATGTGCACCCAAAGTAACTACTACCATGCACAAAAGTAATCACTACAGAGAGGAGAAAACCCATGGATGTTGTACGTGTTTACTATCATAAACGTTAATAACTACTATGAAGGATGTCAAGTTTACTATAAATAGATTTTTACCATTTAAGGTTGGGAACTTTTGCAGAACCTTTTACTTTTAGATATTTTAGAGTTTTAGGATACTTTTTCAGAGCCTAAGTCAACCTTGGGTGATAGCCAAAGATTCAACTAAAGGTTTGATTTTCATTTCTTCTTGCTTTTCTTTGAGTTTTTATCTTCATGTCATTAATTTTTATTGATTCTCATCTTGTAATGGTAAAACCCATCCTCATGAAGGGCTAATTTTCTTATAAACCATAGTGAGTTTATATGAATTCTTGAATTCCTAGGCCTTTAATGTTAATATAAACCCCTTTTCTCATGAATTTCTTCTTTACCCAATCTCTTAAACTAAGTTAAGTGTTGAATGAGAGGGTGTTGCTTAATCCTAAGGATTAAAGATTGGAGGCCATTAATTTGCTTAATTTCGTATGAGAATTTAGGATTAATTTTTGCTTGTTTAATTAATCTAATTCAAGGAAAGGCTATGTATTAAATCCTAAGAGGAATTGGGATAGAATCAATTTAGACAAGTTAGGGGTTAATACTTTTTATTGATTAGACTTTGCAATTTAATTTTCTAATTGAGTAGTTTGAACTTGAAATCATAACCCCCGCTTTTTCATTTGCTTTCTGAATACACTACACACCATATGTTTGATATTTAATCACACACCCAATGATTCATAAGAGGACGATCTAGCTTAGTACCCTAGTATTACATTAATTTTGTTTAAATTTTAATGAGGATTAGCAACAAATATTTCGTTCATCAATTGTTCATGGGAAATATAATTTTAGCTTTGAGTACGTTTGAGACAATTGTGGGGTATTAGAGGATTATAAATGTAGCTAATGGTATATATGATATCCCCAATAAAACAATTTTTTAATTCATGTTGTTAAAATCTCATTGCCTAACTATCAAAAATTCATCATGATCTCATAAAAACATCAAGAACACAATGAATAAAAAAGGTGAGTACATATTCCCCATAAATTGTTTCATAAGGAAATATACACTACTAAAGAATAAAAGTAAAACAAGCATTTCCTATATCAAAATACCATCAACTAATTGTTTTTAGTATCTTTCTTTTTTATGGTTTTTTTCATGGAGTAATTAATTATCCATCTTGTAATTTTATGGTTGACTGATTGGGAGTTTTGTGCCCACAATCTAGATAATGCATATGACACATCATCCCTCTTAGGACTGATAGACGATGTTGAGTCGCTATCAAAACAATTAAGTTCTCTCAGGATTTTGTAGTATAGATCTAAACCTAGGTCGATTCACAGAGACATTTTTTCAGTTAAATTCAATTTTAGATTTTCTTTTAAGGAATACAAATAAACTTTTGGGGGGTTTGAAATCTGCAAATTAACTAAATTAAACTACGAACAGAATAAAATTGAGTAAAAACAAATAGAGAAATATCAATCCACAGAATATCAAATGTGTGTAACTCTGGTTATCACAGTATCTAAATATTTTAATCCGAGTTGGAATGTTTACCCAATTCAATTATTAATTCAATCGACTAACCTAATTGAACTAGATCACGAATTAAATCAAATTATCATTTAACCTAACCCAAATTAATTATCAAATTAGAATGTCAATCGAATCCTAATTTGAATTCTACTAACAGAAAAGTTAATCACAATCCCAATCCACAAATTTGACGTTAGAGAAAAAAAGAATAAACTCGTGGCTATTTGACCCAGGACTTAAATTGGAATTATAGCATTTGGATAGAACTGTCAAAAAGCCCAATTGGCCCTAGCCCTAACCCTAGCCCAGGTGGGTTAGGGCCAAAAAGCCCTATGGGCTAAAAAGCTCACTGGGCCAAGGCTTCAAGGGCCAAAATATTTTAACAATTACAAGTTTCTAACTCAAATTTAATTTCATCATTAACTATTAATTATTAGTGTAATAACAGCAAAATAAAACATCAGTCCATCTATAATAATGGTGGAATAAGTTAACAGTAAAATTCAATCTATAACAAAAGAACACCAATCCAACAATAAACAAAAGGATATCAATGCAACTATAAACAAAACTAATTTCAAAGACTCCTTTGTCTTTTCAACACAAATAAGAAGCAGCAAAATACTCAAAGTCAATATACATGATTCATCATTATCCATTGTAGAGCAATGTTGAACACATTAAAATTGTCAAGTGTCAATTTACCTCTGTCATTTTTTCTCTGAAAGAAACAGAAAAAATTTGATAAAGCAATTGGTAAAAAAAAAACTCAATACATTAATTCTTAATAGATTTATACTTCACTTGCTTGTTAGTCTTCGACATCTTGTTGCATACTAGACTCTGTGTTTTTGTCTCATCATTATCTAAAACTCAAAAACAATAAGAATAGAATTATGTTTGTACAAATTATATAATAATTATCAAAGGTGATTAGAATAAATATTACAACTTGGACTTTCAACAAAACCATGCAACCAATTCCTAGTACAAATTAACATTTGTACATTTTCTGGAAGTGTAGAGCTTCTATAT